CCGTGCCCCCAGGGTCACTCGAGTTTCATCACCCACCTGGACTGGTCCAAGGACGGGCGCTTCATCATGTCCAACTCGGGGGATTATGAGATCCTCTACTGTGAGTCTGGGGGCTTGGGGGGCTCCCCCTGGGGCTGACGGGACCCCCCTGACCCTGCTGGGACCCTCCTGATCCTGCCAGGACCCCCCTGACCCTGCCGGGACCTTCCTGACCCTGCCAGGACCCCCCTGACCCTGCCAGGACCCCCCTGATCCTTCCAGGACCTTCCTGACCCTTCCAGGACCCCCCTGATCCTTCCAGGACCTTCCTGACCCTTCCAGGACCCCCCTGATCCTTCCAGGACCCTTCTGACCCTTCCAGGACCTTCCTGATCCTGCCAGGACCGCCCTGACCCTTCCAGGACCCCCCTGATCCTGCCAGGACCCCCTGACCTTGCCAGGACCCTCCTGACCCTGCCAGGACCTTCCTGATCCTGCCAGGACCTTCCTGACCCTGCCGGGACCTTCCTGATCCTGCCAGGACCCCCCTGATCCTTCCAGGACCTTCCTGACCCTTCCAGGACCCCCCTGATCCTGCCAGGACCCTTTGACATTGCCAGGACCCCCCTGATCCTTCCAGGACCTTCCTGATCCTTCCAGGACCCCCCTGACCTTTCCAGGACCCCCCTGGTCCTGCCAGGACCCCCTGACCTTGCCAGGACCTTCCTGACCCTTCCAGGACCTTCCTGACCTTGCGAGGACCCCCTTACCCCACAGGGACCCCAGAGATTTTGGGGTCTCCCTGATCCCTCCTCCCCGGATTTTTGGGGAGGGCGGGGGGGGGGGTGAGGGGCTGGGCAGGGGGGTTATGGGGGTCTCAGATCCAGATTTGGGGATCCCAGACCCAAACTTGGGGGTCCCAGACACCATTTTGGGGGGCAGGAGGGTCCTGGTTTTGCCAAGTCTAGCTGTTCCAGTGCCCCTGTGCCCAGCCCAAGGTGGGCAGGGGGCTCTGGGGGGGCTCTGAGGGGCTGGGCAGGGGGGTTATGGGGGTCTCAGATCCAGATTTGGGGATCCCAGACCCAAACTTGGGGGTCCCAGACACCATTTTGGGGGGCAGGAGGGTCCTGGTTTTGCCAAGTCTAGCTGTTCCAGTGCCCCTGTGCCCAGCCCAAGGTGGGCAGGGGGCTCTGGGCGGGACTCTGAAGGGCTGGGGAAGGGTCCCAGACCCCAGTTTTGGGGTCCCAAACCCAGATTTGGGGGTGCCAGACCCAATTTGGGGGTTCCAGACCCAGATTTGGGGGTCAGGAGGGTCCTGGTTTTGCCAAGTCTAGCTGTTCCAGTGCCCCTGTGCCCGGCCCAAGGTGGGCAGGGGGCTCTGGGGGGGCTCTGGGGGCTGGTGAAGGGTCCCAGTCCCCAATTTGGGGGGTCCCACACCCTGATTTGGGGATCAGGGGTCTCCACATGCACAGGCTGGGTGTTTTGGGGGATCCACGACTGTGATTTTGGGGTATTGGGGGGGGTCCAGACCCCAATTTTGGGATATCGGGGAGGGGTCCAGACCCCAATTTTGGGGGGTCCCCACACCCCAATTTAGGGGTATTGGGGGGGGGGGCTCCAGACCCCAATTTTGGAGAGATCCCCGCACCCCAATTTAAGGATATTGGGGGGGTCCAGACCCCAATTTTGGGATATCGGGGAGGGGTCCAGACCCCAATTTTGGGGGGTCCCCACACCCCAATTTAGGGGTATTGGGGGGGGGGGCTCCAGACCCCAATTTTGGAGAGATCCCCGCACCCCAATTTAAGGATATTGGGGGGGTCCAGACCCCAATTTTGGGATATGGGGGGGAAGGGTCCTGACCCAAATTTCGGGGGGGGTCCTCACACCCCAATTTTGGGGTATTTTGGGGGGTCCCCAGACCCCCATTGAGGGATACTGGTGGGGGGGTCCAGACCCCAATTTTGGGATATGGGGGGGAAGGGTCCTGACCCCAATTTTGGGGGATCCCCAGACCCCAATTTCGGGGTGGGGGGTCCCCATTTTGAGGTGGGCGTGGCTCTGTGTGTGTGTGACACCACGTGACCCCCTCAGTCACGTGTCACCCTCCCCTCACAGGCTCCCAGTCACGTGTACGGCGGGCACGGCAGCCACGTGACCAACGTGCGCTTCACGCACGACGACGGGCACCTGGTGTCGCTGGGCGGGAAGGACACCAGCGTCTTCCAGTGGCGCGTGCTGCCCGGCGACAGCGGCTGAGGCCCCGCCGCCTCCTCCTCCTCTTCCTCGCTGCTTCCTCCTCCCTTTTCCCCTTTCCTGGGACCAAAGAGCGGCTCGGGGGTCGGTTGGAAGCCTTCCTCCCGGCCGCGTTTTTCGCGCTGCACTGTGAGAGGCGTCAATAAAAGCCTTTGGGGTCAGGGCAGGGCGCCGTCGTTTCTTCCGCGCCGGAATCGCCGCCGCTTCCCGGAAGCGCCGCGGGTTCTTCCTCCTGCCCGCCCTCGGCGCCTTTCCGGTTCTGGCGGAACTCGCCGAGCGCCTTACGGAAAGAGCCGAGGTTGAGCCGAGGAGTGCCGGAGAGAGCCGAGGCTAAGCCGAGGCTTTCCCGAAGCCGAGCCGGAAATTGCCGAGTTCGCTCCGGAAGCGCCCGAGGCGGCGCCGAACCCGTGCCGGAGGTGCCCGAACGAATCCGGCAATACCCGAGCCTCTCCGGAGGTGCCCAAACCCTTTCCGGAGGTGCCCGAGAGGCCTTGCCGGAGGTTGCCGAACGTCTCCGGGGGTGCCCGAAGCCTCTCCGGAGGTGCCCGAAGGGCTCCGAACCGGCCGTGCCGGCGCGGAGGCGGCGGGAGCGGCGATGAAGCGCGGCCGGGGCCGGGCCCGGGGGTAGCGCGGCCGAGCGAGCGGCCATGGCGGCCAACATGTACCGCGTCGGCGGTGAGCGGGCCGGGGGGCGCGGGCCGCCGGGAGGGACGGCCAGGAGGACCCTGAGGGGCCCGGGCGGGCCCTGAGGGGATCTGGGGGGTCCCGGAAAGCGGCGGGGTCTGAGGGGATTTGGGGGTGCCGTGAGGCGCGGGAAGGGCCGTGAGGGGTTTTGGGAGGTGTCCGTGAGGGGTTAAGGGGGGGTCCCGGTGTCCGTGAGGGGACTTGGGGGTCTGTGAGGAAAAGGAGGTCCCAGAAATGGGGAGGGTCCCTTGAGGGGTCTGGGGGGGGGGGCCCCCAAATCCTGGGGGGGGGGGGGGGGGGACG